ACAGACCTAAGGTTCAAATTCCAGTGGGTCTCTGGATTTAACTACAGGTGACCCACTTCATCCAGGTATTTTTGGGCAGACCATTTGCCCTTTCTGAGCTGCAGTTTTTGTATCTGTAAAACACATAAGAACATTTCACAGGTTTGCAGAGGATTGAAGGAGAACGTCTGTGTAGCAGTACCTGGTACAGGGTTATCATGAGTCCGTCTTCCCTATCAGCAGGATGGCCCTGGCTGACTTTTTGTATTTATCACCCAAGCCCAAGGAGTGGACCCAGCTCAGGTCACTTCCACCAAGGGCAGCTTGTTTGTTGCCTTCTACCCTGTGCATCATCATCCAAGTTTTTGGGCCACACTTGGGGAGCCAAAGCCTTCTCCGAAGCTGAGGTCATAAAGCAGAAAAAGACAAAGCTCTGCTTTCAGAGAGCAAGTTTGGTTGGCAGTGAGCAAAGCCACCTCTCTGTAGTTAATCTGCCCTTGGGTATGGGAGTGAGTCCCCAGTAAATCCAGCACAAAGCGGCTGGCCCGTTCAGCCTTCCCACCCACCACAGCCATGAGTAACACCTGGACAAAGAGCTAAGCACTGGGAAGCAGCTCCACCCAGCCTGTCCATCTCCAGGCACAGCCCCCTGGGGGCCCAGCCTCAGGCAGGATGGAATATGACAGTCACAAGATTCACACCTCAAGCCATGAAACATATTCTTCTCGCTACGTCACCTGGCAGGTGTCATCAGCAGTTGGTTTTACAGCTACAGTGGCGCACACACAGCATTTTCTTCACCTCTGTGTCACAGGAATGGCCACTGTTATTCTCCTCACTTTTAACCACTGGAGTATCTAGGGACATTTGCCAACAGCGTTTGTGGATGTTGAGACTGGCTGGTTATTTGTACATACATTTTTCTGCAACTCCATAAGCTGGCAACGTAAGGCCATGCAGAAACCAGAAATTCAGGGTCCATACATAATGACTCCACACAAAATGTGTTTTGTCACAGAGTATAAGAATAGATAAACTAGTAATAGCAAATGACGTGCATTCACTGTACTGCAGGCTCTGCTGAGCATGTCACTTTCTATTACTATTATTATCCCCATTTTACCAAAAAAAAAAAAACAAAACCAAAAAACCCTCGAGTCTTCTTGGTGTATTCCAGATGTTAATTCCTTTTAGGTGTTAGATATTATAAATCTTTTCTTATTCTGTCACCTTTTTGTTAACTTTGCTTATTGTGTCTACCCTTTACAGAATTCTTAATTTTTAAAATATAGTCAACTCTATTAAATTTTCAACTTATGGCCAGGCACGGTGGCTCATGCCTGTAATCCCAACACTTTGGAAGGCCAAGGTAGGAAGATCATTTGAGGTCAGGAGTTTGAGACCAGCCTGGCCAACAAGGCGAAACCCGTGTCTGCTAAAAATACAAAAATTAGCTGGCCGTGTTGGCACATGTCTATAATCCCAGCTACTGGGGAGGCTGAGGCAGGAGAATTGCTTGAACCCAGAAGGCAAAGGCTGCAGTGAGCTGAGATGGCACCACTGCACTCCAGCTGGGTCAACAGAGTGAGACTCATCTCAAAAAATAATAATTACCACTTATGGTTTGTGTATTGAGTACCTTCTTTAACATCTCTAATATCTCCTTTTAGCTTTATAATTTTACTTTTGCACTGAGTTCCTCTTTGGCGTATGCTTGAGACAGTGAACTAACAAGCTGTTTCCCTACTACCAAGTAATGAGTTTTAGGCAATCCATCCCTTCCCCACTGATTGATGGTGCCATGTTTATCCCAAAGAAGGTTCTCATGTAGACTCAGATCCAGCTCTCAATCTCTGCTCTTTCCCTAGATGTATTTGACAGTGTTCCAGTTTCAAACTGATTTTGTCTGGAAGGGTGAGTTCCTTCTCTTTTCTCTTCTTTTTCAAAATGACTTAGGCATCATGAACTTTTATTCCTTCATATAGAGTAACTATGTTGGAATTATTTATTCTTCATTTTAGAGTAAGTATGTTGAGGTCCTCAAAAAAAAACTTGCAATAATTTTGTCTGAAATTACATCAAATTTATAGATTAATTTTGAGGGAAATTAATGTGTTTATATTTCAAAGATGTGGTATATCTTTCCATTTATTCAGATCTTTTCAAATGAACAATTGAGTTTTACATTTTTCTTGGTAAGTTCTTTGATAGGTTATTTTCTACATACTATGGAGTTTGTGAATAGTACCTTATTTTTTAAAAAATATTTTCAAGATGGTTTTGATAAAGAATAATACTTCTTAGACCAGGCACAGTGGCTCATGCCTGTAATCCCAGCACTTTGGGAGGCTAAGGTGTGAGGATCACTTGAGGCCAGGAGTTTGAGACCAGCTTGGGCAACATAGTAAGACCCTGTTTCTACCAAAAAAAAAAAAAAAATTATTCAGGCATGATAGTGGGTGCCTGCAGTCCCAGCTATTCAGGAGGCTGAAGTGGGAGGACTGCTTTAGCCCAAAAGTTCAAGGCTGCAGTATGCTGTGATCTCACCACTGCATTCCAGCCTAGGCAACCCTGTCTCAAAAACAAAAAAGCAAAACAAACAGAAAAAAGAATAACAATTGTTTAAAAGTGATCAGGTATTCATCATGTCTGCTGAAGTCTCTTATTTTATTTAGTCTGTTGATGAAATATGCGGATACAACCTTTTATTTCTTTTTTCTCTCCTTTTCCTTTTTTCTTATCCTTCTATCTTGCCCAGAAACTACAATATACAAAACGATTAACAGTTAACTGTTGTTAAACAGTAACAGTGAAAGCAGGTTGTGTCTAACTTTTTTTTAAACTTATTGTATGACCCTTTAGAACCTTCAAATAACTTCCATACTCATTACACCATTTGTGTTTCATAAACACCCATTAGTAGGGAGAACAGGTTTTGGCTCATTTTATAATTAACACTCAATATGGTTGAGTTTTGGAGGATCACATAACTAGCAAGGATCAAAATTCATATTCAGGTCTTTAAAACTTCAAGTTATCTCACTATAACAAGCTGATTTGTATCTAGTCAAAAATATATAAAACCACATGATTTAATTCAGTAATACACATAGTGAATTTGAATTTAAATCCCATTCCATCCTGAAAAAGATGGTCTGATACAATCCTATCATTTTTTAAAGAAAACTGTGTCAGCTGATATTAAACATCTAAACCTTGTCAAGTATTAAGAGCCATATGACCATATCAACTAAGGCTGTAATTCTATTAAGAATTTGGGTCTATGCCATGGCAAAACAGTCAGTTAATTTGGTCTGTTTAGGTAAAGTTATGGCAAAACAGTTAATTTAGGTCAGTTTTGTGGGCGGGAGGGAAATTGGGTAAGAAATATTCATCACATTAATTTTACTAACATTGCAATACAACTACAATTTTATTTGTATTTTGGGCATATTTGAACATTTAAAAGCTGCTGTAAAGATAATATTGTTACTTCATTTTTGTAAGAAGGAAAAACTAAGTAAATCAATTTCTTGGTTGTGCAAAAATAGCCCAAGGGGAAGTGACCTGTGAACAGAACTCATGAATTAAACCTGAGTTTGGTCTACCAGTTCTCTGTAATCAAGCCCCATGATTCACTCATGGAAATCAGTGCCTCTTAAATTCACTGAATGACAGACACCTCAACAGACACACACCTGTGGATTCCCATAGCTCCGTTAAAAGTAACCATCAGGAAGCAATTAGGGACTGCATCTGTCTCCAACAATCGGTATTTTTCTTTCCATTTCTTGCATTTTCACTTAGGGAATGTGTAAGGGATCGTCCTCTCTAAATGGTGCTGTTACTTGGAATGTACCAAGTATGCTGATTTGCTAAAGGGTCCCAGGCTTAAACAGCAGGAAAGCACAAATAAAGCTGTACTCAAAGAAGAATCTAAATATCTCAGAAGAGGAAATCAGAAAATTGTAAACTTTCTTAAATGCAGCTTTGCAAGTTGAGTAATAAAATACGATAATGTAACTAAGCAGGAGGCTTGCATTAACTGTGAAAAAAATGAGGGGCAAGGAATGGTTCCAAATCGATTGTATTTATCAGAACTTCTGATTTCCTCTGAAATGGCACACGCAATGAAATTTACTGTGAGCTAGCTAACAAAAAAACCTTGTTTTTATGGGAAATAAGTATTGTCAGAAAAGCTAACAGATTCTATTTTAAATCCTCAAGATTATAAAATTGAGCTTTTCATAGATGAAGAAAAAAAGGCTCCAGAACAGAGGCATCATGGACGCAGTGATTTCTATTTAATCTCTTACCTGCTCAAGGGAAAAAACCATCTCAACTGAAATTAATATAGTTTTCTGTGGCGGAATATATAATGACAACTAATAATGCAGATGCTGTCTGCATTGAGTGAATTTTCTTTTCGTTAAAAAAAAAAATACTCATGCTGGTTAAACACATGAACTGTACAAGTTTATATTTGGCCAACCCCTGTACCCCCACCTGTTCATTCAGGCATTAGCCCTGAGGACTTAGAAAGCAAATGAATGATCTGTACAGCAATGGGTAAAAATAAACTGAACTATTCTTGTAACACTATCAGAGATGATCTGACCAAACAGAAGATCACGTTTCATGAGATAAAGTAGTCAAATGAGATGTTTCCTCATGTTTTACGATTGGTTTGGCTTATTCAGTGTGTATAAAATAGCTGACCTTCATTCCAGGAGAATGAGCAGCAACCAAATTTAATGCTATTTGCTCAGGGGTTCAAATCTGGTTTCATTGCCTCTGAGGCAAAGTTTCTAAATGTGCTACTGTTACAGAGACCCAATGCTTGGCATATAACTAAGAAGGAACATTTAAGTCAATGGACACTATATTGGCTTTGTGGGTTAATCATGTTATTTCAATGTGTTTGCCTCTTTGGGAATAAAGTTCAAGTAGAAGTTGGATAAGTTATTAGCTTTTGGAGTGAGCATATATATACACACACACATATATTGAATAAGCACATATTTTTGAAGTGAGCATATTTTTGTTTTATATATGTATAATGCTTGTTTTATATAGAATATATAATCTCTGTATTTTATATATAAAATCTCTATAATAAGAAGTTCCCAAGGACAGCCAATTATAAGATCAACCAGTGCACTCACTCCCTGGCTCACTATTCTTTAGCCATATTGGCAATTAATTCCTTGAAAAACCTAGATGTGGTTGATAGATCATTGTTCACAATTTTTCACATCTTTCCTGTATTAAATAATTTATCCATATTCATCTACATTTCTCCAAAATACCATCAGCTATGGGTAAAATATTTTCCCCATCCCATTGATTTTGGGCTGGGCCATATGGCCTATGTTAGCCAACGGAGTGTTCCTGAACATTTTTAAGAGGACTTAAATGCACTTGCGTGATTTCATTTGGGCTCTCGGGCTCCTGTCATGTGCTATGTAGGGAATATGTTTCAAGAAGCTATTGGTCAACACAGGATGAGTCACGTACAAGGGAGACCTGAACCTTGGAGGCCAGCCAAGCTCTGCCAGTTGTAGCTGACCCACAGGCCCATGTTGGAGGAATAAATGCTTACTGTTTCAAACCAAAGTTGTGAATAGTCGGTTGTAGTGAACGGGTATAGCAAAATGTCATCTCACTGCCTTAGCACATACCCTTCCCTCTACTAGCAATCATCTTCCATGACCAGTCTTTGCCTAGTTAATTCCTGCTCATGCTTCAGAGCTCAGTTTAACTGTCTTGACCACAGGACAGATGCCACAGACCTGATTACCTCCCCCTTCATATCCTGTGTTTCCTCTTTTGTGAGATTCATCACATTCACAATGTTTTGCTTCATGGCATTCAACTAGAATATAAGCTTCTTTGAGCGGTGGGACCACAGTGTATTTTTCATTGGTATTATTCCTAGCACACGACACACAATGCTAATACAAAGGGGATTTAATAAATATTTGTTATGTGATCTTTTTAAAAAGGCCATGTGGTTCTGCTACTTAAGAGTCAGAAAAGAAACTTAATTTGTATGAGTTTTGGTTTTCAGCAACTATAACATGAACACAATAATACCTATCTCCTAAAATAGTGAGGATTAAATAAAGCAACCATTAAAGTTAATGAATTTGAAGAAAGATTTATAAGTATCTGACACATGGGTACAGAAAAGGCACTTGATAACTGACAGCTTTTATTATGGTTGGAAAGATAAATATATTTGCCCTCTGTCTAAGAACACTATTTGTTTTAAAGCAATATTTTTGCAAGTCAAAAAAAAGAAAAAATTAGATTAGGTTGCTACTTAACGATTATTCAGTTTGGTATTTCAAAGCATCCTGCTTACTTATCATGCTCTGAGTCCCTTTTAGAAGCACTTTCGGGTAGAATTCAGCTACGAAGAAACAGGTTGGCAATTGAAACTTGGCTTATTTCAAACATTTGTTACTAAATGACTGTATCCTTTTAAAAAAGAGTAAAATTCATTTTTGCCATTTATCTTTATTTTTATTTATATTCACCATTTTGCTATTTAAAATTTTTTTCCCTGCTTAATTAAGCTTTTAGAGTTAGCACTTATTTTCAAAATGTTTTTTCTTCATTCCTACAAATAGCTTTTGGAATAGGATTTTATACAACCTAAATCAGTTTTTTTCTTTTGCCAAAACCAACATATATCCAATACAAAAAATTAGAAAATATAGGTAAATATAAGGAAGATTTAAATGTTTGTAATCCAATCACCCAGAGATAGTCACTGTACATTGTATCTTTACCCTTTTGAAGTTAATGTTTCCTTTAATTACCACAATTATCTTTCCATGCCAATAAAGATTCGTCTACATCTTTTATTAGTAGCCTTCCAACATAACATCATTTACCTGAGCAATTCCCTATTGCGGAAATTTCGTACATTTTACTTTTTTTCTTTTCCTATTATCAGTAGTATCTCCATGAATAAGTGAAGAGATAACAATTAGTTACTGAAACCTTTGAAAACACCACTTAATGAGTCTTGCAGTTCAGAGCAGGACAGATCATTATCCTGACTATAATCCAAGCCTTTCGTTGTATTTCTTATTGTGAGTCTAGAACCATCATTGAAAAATAGTAAAGTTTGGTGGGTGGGCTACATTAGAATAAGAGAATTTGAGGAAAGACTTTCATTTCTGGTCTCAATAATGAATGTGCAAACCAGAACCTACAAATCAACTCGTGATCAAAAATACCTTCACAGAAAGCAGGAATCCTGAAATGGGAAGAAGGGAAACAAGGAAACCCACAGATCACCGTTGCTCTCACTCTCACAGCTACCATGTCCATATTTGTTTTGACAAACACTCCTTGCCCACAATCTGATCTCTGGTATGATGAGCAATGACGTTCCCATTTTACAGATAAAGGGACTGAGGCACACACAGAGAAGCTGACAACAGTGTCCACAGTGCTACAACCAGTTAGTAACACATCCAGGGTTCTAGAACACAGCCAGGTTCTGGCTCACAGAGAAGTGCTTGTTTTATGCTCACATAATTCTCAGTAATACTGGGAATTATTCGGAAGAGGAAACAGGACTCAATGCAGCAGGGAGATGAGTAGAAACATAATTCTCCTGAGAGACAGCATGGAGGCATTTGTTAGCTACTCGACACTGGTCTAACATCTTCAGTAAGAGGATAATACCTCTATCCACCTCCCTAGGGCAATATGAGCATGATTGCTTATTTAGAAATTTGTCCCTGTAAGAGCTTTGATATTCTCAAAGGAGAGGTGCTGCCGAAAAGTAAAAATATTTTCTTTGCTTCCATTGTGCACATGAGAGAAAGGAGATTTGGATCAGGTAAATAAATTATTGGAAGACATATACATTCTTTATCTAATCACATTAGGATAATACTCCTGAGCTCCTTGAATGGAGGTATCCTGGGTACCTGCTGTCCTTAGCACATACCTTATGAAACTGAAAATCTTACTCAACCCAATCAGAACTGCTTATTAATGGGCTAATCAGAAATGTCAGTCAAGGAAAAAAAAGGAATACATTTATGTTGTAAATGTAATCCCTCGACAGGTTCTTCCCACCTGATGCATAGAAGAAATCAATTCACTGCCACCATGGTATTGGAATAAAGAAAGAATTTAGTTAATGGCGGGCCGCCCAGTGGAAGGACTGTCATTATCATTCAAGTTGGTCTCCCCAAAGGCTCAGAGGCTAAGGTTTTTCAAGGATGGTTTGGTGATCCAGGGACTAGAGAATGGGTGTTTCTGATTGGTTGGAGATTCAATCAGAGGGGTGTAAAAAAAAATCATCCTCATGTGCTAAGTCTGCCTCTGGGTGGGCGCCATTGGACAGGTTTAGTCATGTGTCATAAGTCTAGGTGGGGTTAGTAGATTGCCAGAATGCAAAAGTCTGAAAAACATCTCAAAAGATCAATCTTAGGTTCTACAATAGTGATGTTATCTATAGGAGCAATTGGGGAAGTCATAAATCTTGTGACCTCTGGCCACATTCCTGAGCAGTAAGAGATTACAGAAACTCTGCCTATACCTTCGCAGAATTCAGGCCCCTTCCATAGTCTTAATCCTGTAGCTTTTCATTTGCCTTACAAAGGCATTTTCAGCCCCAAATAAGGAGAAGATCAGTTTTAGGTAGGTACTATTATGATCCTTGTTTCAGAGTTAATACACTAAATTCTTCCCACGGTTAGCTTGGCCTACACCCAGGAATGAGTGAAGACAGCCAGCCCATGAGGCCAGAAGCAAGATGGAGTCAGCCATGCTAGACTTCTCTCACTGGTGTAGTCTTTGCAAAGGTGGTCTTATAAACATTATATTATATTATATTACATTATACTATATTATACATATATACTTAAGATGGAATCTTGCTCTGTTGCCCAGGCTGGAGTGCAGTGGTACGATCTCAGCTTACTGCAACCTCCACCTTCCAGGTTCAAGAGATTCTCCTGCTTCAGCCTCCCAAGTAGCTGGGATCACAGGCGTGCATCATCACGCCTGGCTAATTTTTTAATTTTTTAGTAGAGGTGGGGTTTCACCATGTTGGCCAGGCGGGTGTTGAACTCCTGACCTCAGGTGATCTGCCTGCCTTGGCCTCCCAAAGTATTGGAATTACAGGTGTGAGCCATCATACCCTGCCCATAAACATTATATTTTAAAAATGTATTTACCAACCCAGTGGAAGGCCATGGTTCTTTCCCTCACTATAGATTCACTGGCAAGACTCCAATACCACATTTTTTTTTGCCTAAACCATACCCATAAGATCTCATTTTTCATTTTCAACTTTCCTTTCTTTGTAGTAGGTGAGAACTTAAAGACACTCATGAGCTATATATTGTAGAGTTTATTATTTTTCCTAGTCTCATATCATTAATTTAACATTAGTGAGTCTTTCCAAAGCATTCCATTTAAATGTCATGGTAATAATTCTCTCTCTTCACCCTCATGTTGTTAGTTAATGAAATATTAAAGTAGATAGCATAATTTTAATAACAAGTAAAACTAGTACAAATATGTCCGGTAACAAACAATTCTGATTATCATAAAACACAAAACTCAGCTCCTCAGAGAAGAAAGGGATCAGTGTGGACAGAGTGGAAATTCTGTTCAGTGTGTTTTGATCACCGGTCCAAGCCTTACAGAGGTAATGAACGTTGGTTCCTCCTATGAGTCACTTAAGTAGAAGTTGGTTAAAAGAGTGCCCAGAATAGTTTTTTTTATTAATTATTAATATTAAGCAGTGTATTTGTGGACAATGACTGGAGACAGTCCCAGGTAGGAGTTTAAATCATATGTATTCATTCACACTCGAAGTTTTTAAATCCCATCCTCTCTACCCCAATAAATTTCCGGAGTCTGTCAACTTGCCCCTCTACATGATAGCTTTGAATTCACATTATCTTGCTCATAGGACCATAAAGGACCCAGTTATTCACCAGAAAAGCCTCTTAAGATGAGAGGGAAGAGCTCCAAGAGCAAATTAAATCCCAACTTTTATTTTCTTCCTACTACTTACAAACATTGCAAACTTTCCTATTATTTCTTATTTTCTGTCTCACACCAGTAGAAGGTAAGTTCTGTGGGAGGAAGGATTTTATCTCCCTCATCTACCTCTGTATTCTTGGTACACCTAGAATAGCGCCCGGCACAGAGAAGTTACACAATAAATGTTTGTTAAGTGAATGATTGATTTAATCCAGGTATATACAACATGGGCGTTTTCTACACAAATTTGATCCCGTTTAATGGTTAACTTTTTGTTTTTCCATTTTTTAAATAAATTTCTACACTGTTATAAAATTTTCAAATTACTTGGCAAAAAGAATAGCCTGCAAAAGGCTAGCCAGATTTTAATCTTGTCTAAATCAGGTCAGAAAAATCAGTTTTACTCCAGAAAACACAAAGGGCAAAGTACAATGGCCAGAGTTACATATCAGCTACACTCACCAGGTGTGCAAAGCCATTTAATATTGTCATTCAGACTCAGCCCTAATGAGCAATCTTGTTTATCTACAAAACTGAGAACAACCAGCTGCTAACAACCAGACATTGTCCCCAAGCCCAGCACACTTCATGTCACCACTCAATGCACCTACAACCTAGCTCTGTTATTAGAATTTCTCATAAGGACCATGATAAAACTGCTGAGAAATAAAGAAAAAATGGATTTCATACACATGCTTTAAAGCTTTATGTTTAGTTTTCTAAGTGTATGTTTTGCTCTGATACAGTTAGATTTGCAATTGAAAAGGGAAAAGCATATCAGAAAGAAGCTTTTTGTTAAAGCAGACTGATGAAGAAACCAGTGATAGATGGAAAGCACAACTCATTTTAAATTACCAGAGGAAACCACAGAAAGTTTCTCCAAAAGAAAGAAAAAATAAAGCAGCAGCCAGTTGGAGAATTACTTATTTTTATTATACCAATTAAAAATATAGTCAAGGAGCCAGGCATGGTGACTCACGCCTGTAATCCCAGCACTTTGGAAGACTGAGGTGGGTGGATTATTTGATTATTTGAGGTAGGGAGTTCGAGACCAGCCTGGCCAACATGGTGAAACCCCGTCTCTGCTAAAAATACAAAAATTAGATGGATGTGGTGGCAGGTACCTGTAGTCCAAGCTACTCGAGAGGCTGAGGCCATTGAACCCAGGAGGCGGAGGTTGCAATGAGCCAAGATTGTGCCACTATAATCCAGCCTGGGTGACAGAGTGAGACTCCATCTCAAAAAAAAAAAAAAAAAAAAAAAGATAGTGAACGGCTTCACGCCACATGTCTCTTTTTGTTTGTTTGTCTCTGTGTCGCCCAGCTGGAGCGCAGTGGCCCAATCTTGGCTCACTGCAATCTCTGCCTTCTGGTTCAAGTGATTCTCCTG